CAATTTTAATTCATCCATTGGTTTGGCTATAAAATGGCCCCCAATGCACCTAGAGAATGCACCGAAATTGCAGGGAAGCCTCCTCTGACACCTCTCTACAATCCCTCCACAGATGTCCAAGTTATATACCCACAAAGAGGGCCCCCCAAGAAAGTTCCCCTCAGGCACCTGGAGACACCAAAACCACAGAGAGACTTCTACTAACTCTATGATCCCTTCAAGTTTGATGAAGATTGGTTTCCTGAAGCCAGCTGCCAAAGGGCACTTTCCTGGAAAGATCCACTTTATGGTTAGATTGGTGAAGACTGGACATCTGAAACCCAGTCTTCACCAAGCTTGCAGGGTTTGTAGAGGAGCATCAGGGGAAACTTCCCTGTGAAGTTGGTGCCTCTAGGTGCTTGGGGGACATTTCATAGGATTTTAAAGTAAAAAACAAATTGATGAACTGATTCATTAAAAAAATCATAAACTTGTATTTCGTTGACCTTGATGAATCAAAACGAATCACTTTTTTTTGATTCGTGCCCATCTCTAATACTGACCCAAGAGAAAAAGAGTACTCTGACTGAAATATTAAAATGTTATTGAGTCATATTCAGCATCACACAAATTGACTTCCTCTCTCCCTCTGCACCCTAACATGTCCCCCAAAATATATTCTGAAAAGTTGCCCACAACCTCTATAATTAGATTATGGCATGGGTGGGCAGAGACCACAAGGAACAGGAGCTGTTCTGCAGAGTGTTCAATTTCAACCCAGCAATTGCCTATGTAAGATAGATTTTTGTGAACTGAAGAGGTTATCTTTGATCTAAACCAATATTTATCAATGTGTAATGAATACAACATTCGGGATAATTATTCAATGAAAGACCACTTTGATCCTGCATTTGAAAACTCCTGTGTTCAAAAATCAAGATGCGTGATTTATCTAATTTTATGTTCTGAATCAATGAAAAAATAAATCCCACAATGCAAATAGTATCAATATTCATAGATCAGGAGCAGCCAATCAAAACTGAAAGTCCTGGATTGTTTGTGTAAAAATGTATTTTCCCATAAAATTGCAGTTTTACTGTCCTTGGCAAGCCAAGGATCTGACCAATCTCTTAAAATGACTGTATATTTTTTAGTTTGAAACATCCGTGAAATTGTTTATATATTGCATTTCCAACTGTGAAAAAAACACACTTCAAAAACATTCATAGGAAGTTCCACAATAGATAACACATGTACATGCACATGTATAGTATTGTGAAAAGCTCTGACCTAGAAATGAGGATACAGGTTTATGCATGGGTGGGGCAGCAAGAAGTTTGTGCAGGCCCGTTTTGGGATAGATTAGGTGAATGACTTTGAAAAAAGAGAAGGCAAAGAACGTGAGCAAGTTAATGGGCTCCCTTGCTCACCAAGTACTGCCAGATCAAACTGTATCTCTTTAGTATAAGATTGTAGAACGAGTGTACAGCAATGATCTTGTGCTGGCAGAGCAAATCAACATTCTATTAGGCAATTCCAAAAACGGGGCAGCCAAAACAAAAGAATTTGAAACTGGACTTCAGATCAGCACCAAATTTGGCATACTTGTAGCAGTTGTCTGCTCTTTCTCTGTGCCATACTTGGGAAAGCTTGGGCAAAGGGTTGCCAAGTTATGGTTTTTTTCAAAGTAGAACTGTTTTACCACTTGATTCAGAAAATGGTGAACCTAAACATCCCAAGATTTAAGATAGCTTATATATAGTGAAAAAAACAATCTTGCTTATCTTGAAAGAAAATGATTGGCCCCACATACTTTTTTTTATTTGGAAAGACTCCAGGCTGTAAGGGCTGAAATATTGATCCTCAAAAAAGGTCTTTCAAAATGGAGAAACTGATTTCTTCACTGAACATGCATGGCAAAAACTTGCCATTAAGAGCTTTACAAAATATATGTGTTGTTCTAATTTCATGGGTAAGGAAGGAATATAGCTGAAGAGCTTAGGGCAATTAAAGGTCAAAGAAAATGAATCAAAAGACAGATTTCCTTTAGAGAGGGAGGAAAAGCTTGCTTTAAAGAAATGGAGTGACAGTCCTCTAGAAAGAGGGGCATTTTGCCGTATATCTTCAGGGAAATAGCACACAATTTTAAAAGACACATTCAAAGTGTTTCTGCATTATGAGAGCACAGAGCAATTGTGTTTATCTCAGTCCTGAGTACTTTCAGTAAATGTTCTCTCAGGATTTCTGAGACTGGGTTCCTTACACCATTTTTCAGAGGGGAAATCAACTCCAGGTGTGGGGCAATCAAAATTTTGAACCTGTCAATGAGGACCCAATTGAATTTTTAACTCCTCCTTGGCCAAACAGGGATTTTCACTTGCAAAGGGATTCTGTGTCTGGTTGTGAAAATATTGAAAAAAAAATACTCAATATTCAGAAGCTTACTCATTTAAGTTATGAAATTACTGTTTTTTGCCTTGTGGCTGGGGATGGTATTACTATTAACAGAGCTTTGGTGCTTACCTTACTGCGATACTCAATATTCAGAAGCTTACTCAATATTCAGAAGCTATGAAATTACTGTTTTTTGCCTTGTGGCTGGGGATGGTATTACTATTAACAGAGCTTTGGTGCTTACTGGTAAACATGGACCACTCATATTCTCATGGCCTGACCTACCTCTTAGGTCTCTTGTGAGGATCAAATGTGGAGGAGAGTTGTGTATGTTGCCTTAAGTTCAATGGAGGAAAGGCAGGATGTAAATATATTAAATAACTGAATTCTAATGTGGTATAGGAACAAACTATTCTAATGAAGCTCCTGTGCCACAAACGTTATGTATACTGAGGTACAGAAGGGACCGAAAATTATTTTGTAACGAAACAGTAACTAAATGTAGAACTGATGTAGGATGACTACTTCAGTGTACAAGCCTTCATGGTTGAAAAACAAATGCTACAGAAGGGACCAAAAATTATTTTGTAACAAAACAGTAACTAAAAGTAGAACTGATGTAGGATGACTTCAGCGTACAAGCCTTCATGGTTGAAAAACAAATGTTGTCTACTGATGAAGTTGAATTGAGAAAGCTGGTCCTCAGATTAGGGGAAATGAGCGTATGTGTTACACTATTTTTCAGCAATTCACTTGCTCAATATTTATAACAGAGACATCATTTCCTGTCTCCTCCTATCATAATGGCAAAAACAGCGCTTAATTTTCATCTGCTAATTTCATTATTCAGCAGTTTTAACAACCTAGGAAGTGAGATTGTGATGATGACGATAAAGTGTCAAGCTAGGCAACACCTTTTACAATTTTAACAACCTGGGGAGATTGTGATGACGACAACAAAGTGTCAAGCTAGGCAACACCTTTTACATTACCCTGATGTTCCCTTTCGTTCAGTTAATAAGTGGCCATATATTTTACAGTTTGTATATTTTTCTACATCTTGTTATTTTCACTCCAGCATGCTGCTTCAAGACAACAACACAGAGAGTATCCTGAGGCACAGCACTACCTGTAGGAGTGAGACTCCTCTACAACAGGAGTGATGATGATGGTACATTTAAACATAAATAGATGCCACTGTAAAACTGTAAGACTGGATATCTAGGTTCCCGATCACACAAACAAGTGTGAAAATGTATACGAGCATGCATTCCAGATGTGTCAATAATGTACTTACAGAGAGGGACAAGGGGCAGTTATTTCCCTGCTATACACATGCCCTGTAATAGCTGAAAATGACTTTGGTCTTTGAAAAGTGAAAGACTTGATAGCAGAGGCAGCATGTGAAGTAGTGTGGCTGGCACCAACTTTTCACTCGCACTCTAGTTGATCTTATCAATAAGTAAAAAGAAAACCTGAACTTTTTGTGAACCCATCTTCCAGGTCCTTTTAGCTGTAGGGAATCTGTTTTCTGGGTTTTAAGGAGCGCTGCTCGCCAAAGATCAACAAAGAAGCTGGGTTAAGCGATATAGCCTTTTAAATCAAAGACCCTTCCAGCTGGGAAGGTAGTCTGTGGGGAAAGACAACACCATCCTAAATCTAGAAGTGAAGAGAAAGTACAATTGAGGAGACACTAATTGTGGCAACTGAATTGAGAATCAATGTTCTAAGAAACCGAATCCTGGTTAGGGACCTTAAATTACACTCTTTCATGTCAACAGTAGTCTTTGAATGACCTCCAGGTGCTTTTGCTGAATCAGAACTATTGTGATGGGGAGGGGGGGGGAAGTATCTCAAAGTTCAAGACTAACCATTCTTGCATCACAAAGATGCTCTTTCGGAAAACAGGTTTGCCAAGCACAATTCATAGGCATCCTTCAGTCTCGAGAGACTATGGTAACATGCTCTGAATCGAGGAGTGTCCTCTCCAGAGCATGAAGCCCGGGTAAGGTAATATGGAGGATAGGCTGTTACCCAAGCAGCAAATCCCCCCTCTCCACATTGCTGAAATGGTCCAATGGAAAGGCAAGAGCCAATACAACTGGTTCCAGCACCAAGCACAGCAAGACTGTTAAAACGGAAAAAGAACCAACAGCTTTACTTTGCCAAACCATCCAGTATAACACTAGTTTTCTTTTCTCTCATCTACCTTGCATATTCTCCAGACTAGCAACTGAAGTGGAAGAGAAGTTGATCAAAAGAAAGGATGCGGGGGGGGGGAGTCTGATGGGATGGACGTAGGGGATTTCATAGCCACACAACATAAATTTTGTTGCTGCAGGGCAGTGGGGAAAGCAAGCTATTTGATCAGGAATATCATGGCAAAGAGTCATCCACTTTCTTCCGTGGAGTAAGAGGTAAACAGTAGACTCTCAGAGCTTTCTGCCTCTCTCCCCATCTCTAGCTTCTTGTAGACAATAAGCCTCGTGTTCAAATGGATTTTTTTTTTGCATTACATAAAGTAACTTGCTACCACGCTCCAGAGCTTAATTTTATCTGCAAATATATACAAAGTCAGGGGCAAAGACATGTGCCTACTGATTAACAAATGCATAGACAGAAAGATGTTACTGCCTTATGGCACAGAGTAACAATTTAATTGGCCTGAAGAAACATCTGTTATACCCAGTTAGGGGAAAAAAAGAGACCACACTTTTCTTTGAAATAAGCAGAAAACACTCAGAAATAGTCACTTCTGTCATAGATACAGAAAAATAAACATATTTGCTAATGACACACAGTTTTGTACAAGTGAGAATGCACATTACAAATGTTGGCAAATGGCCAGTTAAGTAAAAGTAGGTGGGAAATAAGAATTCAAAAACAATATGGATTTTAAATGATTCCAACTGGTGCTATCAACATCCCCCAGTATCCTATCTCTTTAATGCCTTCACTACATCGGAGAAGCTGCACTGTTATAAGAAAAAAAATTATTGCAATCATTTTCTTTTGTCAAACCTAATGGACAGAACCATGTTGAAGCTACAAAATGTTAAGTGGCAATCACACAAGCAGTGTGCATGATTCAGCTGGCTGCCTGTTGTGCTCTCAGACATACCTAGGCAATGAAGTCCCTTGTGCAACTGATTGTGCCCCTGAGTATGTGATGACACCCAGCAAAATGCAACGGCCACTTGATCAACGACCCTTGCCTGTGCCATATTTGCAACAGGACTTTGGCCAATCTAGTTCAGTAATTATTTTTTTAAAGCACAGTTAAAATCAGCTTAAAAATAGTGTGTTTTTTTAAAATGAAGTTTTGTTCTTTATAAAATGCAGGCTGAATGACAAATACTTCTGCTTCACCTTACATCAGTCCTACTCTTTCCAACAGGTGAAAACAGCTCTGTATAGGACAACAGTTTTGCTTGCAGGAATTTTATTTCTCTTGCAGGAAGAACGTGAGTTCAACTTTCTCAAACCCCTTGTGAGCCTCCATCAATTTAAGTTCTTTAAATTTTCCTTTTTTTCCACTCTGGCTTGTCGTCTGTTTCATCTTCATCTGACTCAACTTCTGCAAAAACTGTTTTTGGCTGGGTTCTAAGAAGGTATTGAAGAAGAAGAATGGTTAAACAAGAGTGATCACATTCATATTTGCCATTAAAATAGAGAAAGAAAGAAGAATCGTTATTTTTATTTATCAGTTAAATCGCATAACTGTAGAGTCGGATGAAACCTTAAGGATCATCTAGATCAGTGATTCCCAACCTTGTATCCTCAGACCTTCTTGGACTAAAACTCCCAGAAGCCTTCACCACTACCCGTGCCGACCAGGATTTCTGGGAATTGTAGTCCAAGAGCGTCTGGGGACCAAAGGTTGGGAGCCACTGATCTAGACCAAACATAAAGAAAAACTGTAACACAAAATGCAATTGAGAGTTGACCACAGTGCCATACCTGTTGATTCTGGATTCTAGGTAGATTCCTGATTTATCAGAACTGCTGATGAACACTACACCAAGCTGTACCAAACTGGTAGAAGCTACTTTGATTTCACTGGGGCTTCCATGAGGAGAATGGAGAGGCAATGCCCCTCACTCCATGACACAACCTTTGCATCACATTTTTATAACACAGAGACTACCAGAACCAATATTCTGCCCACAAACTTTGAACTTCATAACCTACGTGGTATGCCCCAAATATCTTCCCACCCACCACCCATCCAGCATATTATGGCCAATAAGTACTGTTCCATAAATTAGGCTTGCATAAATATGACCACACCACTGGCAGGGGAGATTCTTGATAATTAAAGAATTCCTGCTTTGGTCCCAGGGTTGCAGGGCTATCATATGCTGAGATTGATTACACATAAGGTTTAATTTATAGAACAGGATTTTGGCCAATAGAACATACTCTCAATTTGCTATTTGGCCATTGTTCTTCAGTGAAGGAGGAAGATCTGTGAGTGGTGGACACTGTGGTCCCTTTGTGATACCATTGCTTTGTGGGCTTTAGAACAGAAGGAGCTCTTAACTTTTGCAGGAGTGGGAGGCCTATTTAAAAAGTTTCCCACTGTTAGAAGAATCCTTAACCACTGCTTTTTTTAAGGTAACTGTATCTTCATGACTTTTAGAATCTACCTGAAAAAGAAGTTAGAATTCTTCTTATTCTGAATGAATGAATGCAAATGTGGAAGAAGCCAGGCTTTCAGATGGTCAGTACCAGCCATTTTAGGGATTTAAAGTCCAAAACTAGCATCTTGAATTGAACCTGGAAATGAACGAGCAGCCAGCAAAGTTCTTGTGACTTTGGCCCATTGTGTTCAGGCTCTATGTTTTAAATTTTGTATCTCTTCAAATTATTTAATTCCACTGCTACCCCTGGTCTTTCTTCAACTTTTTACTATTTCATGTAAGACTGTCTATCGACATCATCACCACCACCAAGAACACAAGACCTTCCCTATCTAGGTTGTGCTCAAGATAAGCAAGTATTCCCTCAGCTCACCTAGCTACACTACTGATTGCATAAGAGATTACCACTTCTCACCTGCTCAACTTTGCTTCCTTTTTAGCCGGAAGATAATTAAGATGACAGATGGAAATGCATATTTTAAAAATGCACACATCTCATGGCTTTGGTTAGTAAACTTCTAGTACACTACATTTTGGCAGTTGCTAGAACATGAAAACAAACAAAGCATGGCCTATTGTTGATCCAATGCATGAAGAAGTATTTATTTTGAAAAACAGAACAGCACATTATTCTGATAATTGTTCGCATATGTACACACACCGGATCAAGAAGATAAGTTCCACTCACTGGAAGTCTGACCAAAATAGCACCTTCCTATAATATAACAGATCCTTACACCAAGTCTGGAATTCCCCTCCCTCCCTCCCTCCCTTTCCATCCCTCCATCCTTCCCTCCATCCTTCCCTCCATCCTTCCCTCCATCCTTCCCTCCATCCTTCCCTCCATCCTTCCCTCCATCCTTCCCTCCATCCTTCCCTCCATCCTTCCCTCCATCCTTCCCTCCATCCTTCCCTCCATCCTTCCCTCCATCCTTCCCTCCATCCTTCCCTCCATCCTTCCCTCCATCCTTCCCTCCATCCTTCCCTCCATCCTAGCCAAAATCTTCGCCAAACTAATTCTGTGCTCAGTTCCAGAGACATTTTCCATTTTTAATCAATGCTTAGTTAATTTTCATCCAAAAGAAAATGGTAGTCAAAACATTTCAAGCAGTGCTGATGAAATCAGAGAATGGCTAGTATAAAACTGCATCACTGTTGAGCAACAACCCAGGTATAATTTATAAAACACAAGTCAGCATAATTTTGGCTCATGCATAGATATAGTTTTGCAACACAAGAAGGACATGAAGTACTATGCAGGATTATAGTTACTTTTGGCAGATTCTATTATCTCTATAAAAACAATAGACTACACTTTTATCTTCTGCTAAGGATTGTTTTGTAATACAAATTTGATAAGGCCAGCAACTTGAATTTGCCAGCTCTGGCTTTCAAGGAGGCGAGCTTCTAAGTCCTGTCAATAAAAAGGGGGAAAAACACTGGAAATGCTTCACATTCTAAGCCCATTGTATAAACATTTTCTGTCTGGATACAAAAAGGAGACTAGGCATGAAAGCAGCCTTCTCTGTGCATGTTAGTCTGCATGATGCCGTCTGAACACACACAATTCTAACTGTGCAAAGATAAGCTTTTACAACTATCACTGAAGGCTGAGAGTGTTTGATTCTTGCTGGATTGTTTCTACTGTAACTAGCACTTTTGGTACCTGAGGTTTCACAGCTCTGTTTTTTTCAACTTGGGTCGTGTAAGATTGGCAGAAACAAGGAGAGAACAGAGGAGGAACAACTGGCTCTGAATATGTGATGGCCACATTGGTTCCACACTGAGTTGCCTGTTTTGCATTGCCTGTCACTGTTCTGCACCGTCAACTCATGGCAACCATATGAATTAGTGACCTCCAAAAGATCTTGCCATTAACAACATTGCTCAGCTCTAGCAAACTTCCTTTATTGAATCGAGCCACCTCTTATTTGAGCTTTCTCTTTTTCTGCTGTGTGAGACCCCAGGACAGGGCCAGGAGGCATATGTAGGAGTGCCGTCACTCCCTTCACGATCTAAGGAAACACAGACCTCCCCTCCACCTTCTCCACCTAGATTTACGATTTAAGGAAACACAGACCTCAACTCCACCTTCTCCACCTAGAAAAGAAAGCAAGGAGGTGGACGCTAAAGAATTGGAGGAACTAAGAGGAAGAAAGGGTCAGAGACATCAGGGGGTGGATACCTGGGATCTAATACGGGAAATGAAGGGGTTAAATGTGTCAGTACAAACTGGTGAGGATTTGGCGGGAAAGGGAGGAGGATCAATAGAGGCGGGGACAGGAGATATAAGGGAAAGGCGGGATGACATCCGGGGCAGTTGGGAGATGGTGTGGGTCCAAGATCCATGGACCGGGAAATGGGAACAGGTCAAGGTTCCTCATGAGGAGGCTGAATGCCAGAGACGCCAAGGGCAGCAACCGCATCCGTCTTACTGGGGAGAGACGGAGGCAAAGGAGTGGAGGCGTTGTCTGAGGGAGGAGCAAGAGGCAGTAGTGAGGGAGCTTGAGGCGAGGAAAACATGGCATCTTGCGGAGCTCCAGAACGTCTGAGGGAGGAGAGAGAGGCAGTAGTGAGGGAGCTTGAGGCGAAGAAAACATGGCATCTCACGGAGCTCCAGAAGATGGGAGTCTTCCTGGACCGTGGAGGGGTCCCCATTCTGGGGTTGGAGTGGAGATCAGTCCGAGGGATGGGTCCCCATTCTGGGGTTGGAGTGGAGATAAAGAAACCCTTCCGCTATTAGCAGACGAGAAAGAAGAAGGTGAACCACCGGTTACAGAGAAGGTTTTATCTGGATCGTGGAACTTTGATGAACTAAACCCTTTTGTTAGTAATGTTTGGACTCCCTTGCAGTCGAGGTTGAGACGGCAAGAGACTATAAATCCTGGGATGGGTCCCCATTCTGGGGTTGGAGTGGAGATAAAGAAACCCTTCCGCTATTAGCAGACGAGAAAGAAGAAGGTGAACCACCGGTTACAGAGAAGGTTTTATCTGGATCGTGGAACTTTGATGAACTAAACCCTTTTGTTAGTAATGTTTGGACTCCCTTGCAGTCGAGGTTGAGACGGCAAGAGACTATAAATCCTGTTCAAAAGGAAGTTACAGTTAATGTTGAAAAGCTAATAAATGAAGACAATGTTGTTGACTTTAAACCGTCTCGTCCTTATTGAGTGTGACCGAGGCCCCTGATATCGAACCCTCACATGCTGCCTTCAACTTTTGCTAGAATCAGTGATTTTTCCAGTGTACTTTCTTCAAGTGATATACAGGGTTGGATTGAGAGGGTTCACATCCTCTGGCTTAAAAAAACAAACAAAAAACAAAACAGTGGTTGGTTTTTGTGTCTTCCAACAACAGGCTTTTTGCAACTGAGCCCTGAGTCAAATCCCTGTCATCCAACCTGAGTTACAGGTCTACTTGCAACCCTGAAGAGTTAGTTGGTGCAGCATCTCCACCAGCAGAAATGATGCCTTACTACAGATGGAAGGTGTTGGCAGTGCTCCATCACACTCAGCCAGGGGACACAATCAATGAACATACCAATGCAAAGATGTGGGTTTGACAATGACTTCAATGACATCAAATTACTTCCTAAAATTTCTTCTTCTTCTTCTTCTACTTCTTCTCCTTCTTCTCCTCCTCCTCTTCCTCCTCCTCCTCCTCCTTCTACTACTACTATTGCTACTAATAATAATAATCTTAGAACTGCAGAGCTGGAAGGGATCCTACAGATCAGTGATGGCGAACCTATGGCACATGTGCCACAGCTGGCACGCACAGCCCTTTCTGCAGGCACATGAGCCATAAGTTGTCGGATCGCTACTCCTTCCCCTGCAGCCAAACCTCAGGAGGAGGTTACAGCCAGGGTACTGGCACTTCGACAGGATCTGGAGCAGCTGGTGCTGGTGGCAGATCCAGAATGGGGTCTTGAGGCATCTCCGTGCCTGGGAGTCCCCCTTCCACTGCCACATCTGGTTCCGCCACTGTGGCCCACCACTCACTGTTTTTTTTTTCCTTTTCTTTTCAGTTTGGGCACTCGGGCCCAATGCAACTTCCGGTTCCACCACCGTGGCCCACCACTCACTGTTTTTTTCTTTTCATTTCAGTTTGGGCACTCGGGCCCAAAAAGGTTTGCCGCCACTGCTATAGATCATCGAGTCCAGCCCCTGTCAAGGAATCAAACTCCCAACCTCTGGCTCCACAGCCAGAGACCTAAACCATCGTTCATTCACAGTGACTAATATCTTACTCCATGTAAGAAGTGGGACCATGCAAACAGAAGTTGTGCACCATAAATCTGAATGGACATGCAAAAGTAAAATGCAATTGTCTGGGAAGCAGGCTCATAGCTTTGCTCTAGAGGAAAGTCCAAAATGCTATGTCATGGCTGAATTTGACACGTTTGTTGACTGAACTTACCACTATCATCTGGGGTGGAGGGTAAGACTATCCTTAATAGTTAGAAAGAATTTGTAACTGAATTTAAGCAACAACGAAGAACTAACTTTGCCTTATCTTATCTGTGGTGTTGTAGTGACCATTAAAGGTCCTGTATAATCATTCCGAAGTGACAAGCACAGATTTGAATGGTGATTATTAAGTATCATTAAAACCTATAGGTAGGTTATAAGCAACCCAAGCGTAGATGTGTATTAACATTTGTTGCTGGAAAGTCTTTGATGATGACAATTGCAATCACAATGACAGTGAATTCTTTGCCACAAAGCTACCATCTAGATGCTTCTAGTTACTGCTCCAGTCTCTCCCTCCTAAACATTGTTGGCTAATGTATACACAAATAGACTAATCTCCTGCCGACTTCTCATCCAGGCACATGTTTAACAAGAAACTGTAATGTGAACTGCCCACTGGATACAATGAGCCTCTTGAATTACTACTGCATTTTAAAACTTCCTTGTTCATTACACTGTAGGTGTCAAGGATGAAACCTAATATCCAGTCAATGAGCTACCAGGTCAAATACACACCAGTGATTCTTATTAGTAAGATGGAATGAAATGGAGTGCTGGCTTTAAAGAAAGGGGGGGGGAGAGGAAGTTACCTTCTTAATGAGAAGAAAAATAAGCCACGAGCCCAATTTATCTCCTCCAGTGGATAAGTAGCCACAATTCGATTATGGTCACTAACTTTTCAGAAACATTCCTCGAAATATAACAGCATCTCAGAAAAACAGATGATGGAAACATAAGTGACACTAGTCAGTGTCTTCTTGACTGACAATGTGTAATCTTACACATACCTACTCAGAAGTAAGCTCCAATGAATTCAGAGGGGCTTTACTTCCAGACAAGTGGGCAGAGGATTTCGGTCGAAGTTATTTCTCACTCTAGTCCTGAGGCATGATGATCTTGAAGGAGTAAGTAAATGATAGAGTGGCTTGGTATATAAGCTAAGGGGCCAAATGCAAAGGAGAACATGGGTTCTGGCCCATTAAACTCTATTCAGGCATTCTGAAAATGAGTGGAGAGTACATGTGATGAAGGGAGCATGCCACCCCTGCCTGATCCATCAGCACTTTCAAAATGTGAAGGCAACAGCCTGAAGAGGGAAACCCATTTGAAGCTGCTGTGAGCCAGAACAGAAGGAAACTGGGGTTCTGGAGTCTACTTGGATACAAAAGCTTCTCCCTCTTCAGATTTCTGATTCAGGTGATAGTAGCAATGACAGAGTGGGGATAGGCCAGTATGCTCCCCTCACATGGTGTGCGCTCATCACATGCTCTTGAAACAACTGAGTAAAGCTTTAAGGTTCAATAGAAGAGGGATTTCCTCTTATTAAAAAACTGCTAAAGGCTCAGTAGCCCATTTGTCCCTCCCACCTGCTAGGGAGAGACAGAGAATAATTTAGGATAAGTTTGTGGGAACGTTTGGGCAGTATGCAAAGAAAATGAAGAGGGAAGAGCTGTATGGCCCAGTGGCCTATTTCTATGTAGGACTTAAGTATTGGTGAAGACAGGAAGGTTTGGTGTGGCCTGGTGTGCTCTGGTTCATGGGGTCATGAAGAGTCGGACACGACTTAACGACTAAACAACAACAAGTCTTTTGGTACTTCAGAGAAACTCTAATTTCAACAGCTTTTCATACCTGTCCTTAATAAGTTATGGAAAGACTCTGAGGCACTGCTTTACAGCTTAAAGGCTCACTGCATTTTGTTGAGGATAGGTGCATGCATTCCTGTTGCTCAGCAGTTTTCCCACATTTAAACTGTGTAAAGAATACATGGTAAGGACCATTTGATTACTCCACTAACGTTCCTCAAGCTGGTACCTGACAGATACATATTATTTACTACAGGTCCTAAAATCCCCAGCCAGCACAAGGAAATCATGGGGTTACAGTCCAGCACATCTGGAGGGCACCAGGTTGGAGATGCTGGCTTAGGCCCTACGGTGCTGGGCATTTAAATATTAAAGAGGCGACAGGAGATGAACCTAAGAAAAAGTGATTCTGTCACAGCTGCAGTAAAGCCTAAAGGGGCTCCACAGCTGGAGACATTTTGGAACAAACATTCATATCTATCATTTATTTATACAGAACTATCAATGCACCCTGCAGTATACACAAGCAAGCAAAACAAATCCTGGCTGAAAGCTGACAATGTATAAAACTTTGTTTTGACAAAGATACTATTGGACTTTTTATACAGGCATAAAATTATTTACAAGACGCAAATCTGTGCCACTGTTCGTTCATGCTGCTAGAAGAAGCATCTCTAGGTCTGTGACCTGGTTTGGACAGTACAGTATAGTTATTTTAAAGAGGTAAAAAAAAAAAAGAAGAACAGGCGAACATCTACAGCCCATCCCCTATCCTCCTGATAACTGCCAGTCATGTAGGAAACAAATAAAATTCTTTAAAGGCATTTTATACAATAGCACTAGGCCTTTTTCTTTATCCAAAAAAAGCCTCTCCCCACTCCAAGGTCTAATTCTATTTTCTTCAGGTGTCATTCTTTTGTGTGGCAAACTTGATTTCCTTAAAAAAATTTTAAAAATACTGACAATCAGTTTTTTACATTAGTGGCAACTATCCAAAAACCGCATAGCATGGTGTTGTTAAATATGTCTCCTATTTATATGGAACCTCCCAGGCCACAATAATATCCTCTTAAGAAAGTTTCCTTACTTAGAATATGCTGGAGCAACCCAGTATGGATTCTCCTCCGCTTCCTTTGCGTGCCGTAAAATGGCCTCTCGAGGGTTGCTATCGTCAGTCTTATCCAGTGCAATATTCTTGACTATGTACGAAGACAGCGTGCCACCATGAGTTCCAACACGACCACCGCGACCTAATGCAGGAGAGAATGAACAGATGTGCAGACTGGTGAGAGCAAGAAGAAGAGACACAGGTCAAAAAAGAAAACTTCCAAAGCTGTGTTCACACCAACAAGAACTGAGCTACTGTCCCATTAAACTAGCATCTTAAAACTTTAAATGTATAGTTTATGTTTGGTTTTATAGGGTTTGTTTGAGTTGAGGGTTGTCAAAATAAGATAGCAAACTTAGCAATCTTCTGTTTACTGGAGTTGTTTTTTTTTAAAATAAACCCGGTTACCTGGTCCTGCTACTGGAGGTTCTGGTTTGTGGGACTTCACAGGATCCAATCTATCCTTCTCCAGCTGTTTCCTTGTACTTCGCTGGCGTGGTTCACGAAACATTGGAAGTGCATGTGCTGTGAAACAACAATGAGAACAACAAAGGGCTTAGAATCTACAGTAGTCCCATACTTGCATCCACACTTTTGCATGGCTTGGTAAGGGAACTTACTGGGCTGCGCAGATATTTTGAGAAGGTGTTCTAGACTTAAAATATTACAATATCAGCAACAGTACAGACAAACCACCCCTTCCCTGCATCCAACTCTAAATTATGAATCTGAGGAAATAGATTAGGATAATCTTCATCTTCCTCTGCACATCTATGGCTGGGAAGGAGACAATAAGCCAAAATGCAGAATTCTATCCTTTAACAATGTTATTATCAGGGATGGAATTTTCAGATTTTCCATAATTCTCCATGATGGGAGTTCTATTTACTTTAGAGACATGTTAAAAGCACCTGAATGTGATGCACCTGGGAGGAAGGCTTAAACTGGAAGGCTTTGAGGCTTGGGTAAGCCTAGTTCCATCCAAGCTTCTTGCTCGGAAAGAAAGCTCCCAGCTAGCATTAATAAGATCAGATACCCAGCAGTGTGGATAGAGTGATGGACCAAGACTCAGCAGACTTGGAATCGAATACCCACTTGGCCATGAAAACCCATTAAGGACAGGGTGGGACTGGTAAAGCAACTCATTAGATATATCATTTACCTTGAAAATCCCATTAGAGTCACTATAAGTCTGTTTGGACTTGACAGCACATAACATAACAGTGATCAGATATAAAATCACTTGTGCCACAATACCATGTGAGACCCAGGGGAAAATTAAAGAGCAAAAGAAGGGAACATAGAGCACATAATTTTGCAAATGCTAGCATGTTCAGGTCCATCATCCAATATATCATTTACCTTGAAAATCCTATTAGAGTCACTATAAGTCTGTTTGGACTTGACAGCACATAACATAACAGTGATCAGATATAAAATCACTTGTGCCACAATACCATGTGAGACCCAGGGGAAAATTAAAGAGCAAAAGAAGGGAACATAGAGCACATAATTTTGCAAATGCTAGCATGTTCAGGTCCATCATCCAATCTGCAGGCTTATTTTTGCTGATTAATGATCAGAGGTAAGAAACTACTTAAAGCCCAGTAAGCTGTTGCATAGCTCTGATTTTCAGCCCAAACAGTTATGCATAGAGCGGGGCTTTGCTTTGTATGCTGGGATGGAAATATCCATGTTGGTATGAATTACACTGGATGTTGTCCAGTTTGCTTTGGCCCATCCTTGTGCCCTTAACTTTGCCCAATACTGAAATGTGGCCCTTGAGACACTGGACCAAAAGATATTCATCACACCCCAACTCATCGTTTAGAAAGTGACATCTCAGCTATGCTTAATTTTCTTGGCATTCTCCTGTAAGAAGATCGATAACAAGATACATGAGCTGATGACATCACCAGCAAGAGTGATGACATCACCAGCAAGAGGAGACCAATAACAAGATACATGAGCTGAAATCCGAATGGAGTAGCAACGTCTGTGGAAGAGTGATGACATCACCAGCAAGAGGAGATTATTGGCAATAAAAGAATTCTTCCTTTTCTCCCACGGCTTTCCTAACTGTGAAATCATCTTTTCATTGTGTGAAAGCTGTGGGAGCCATGGAAGAGGAGGAGGAAGTCTTTCATTATCAAAAATCTCCTCCTGCTGGTGACATCTTCAGCTTTCCAAAGGTGCAGCTACATCGGCAGAATTTCCGCCATAAAGTAACTCAGCCTGCTAACAGATAGTCCACTATCTACGTTACTCCTGAAACTGAGCACCCACAGGACATACACAGTCTTTGGCTTGAAGCTATGATCTGTGCAGCTACATGTTGTCGCACAGCTAAAACAGAAGTTCTGCAATATAGATCCAGCTTAAGCTACTATTTAGTGTCTGTGTAATTTATCATCATTAATCAAAATACTTTCTAGGTTAAGATGGCTTTAGAACTTTATGAATATTTTGTACATCTGCATTATGTGAAGCATGAAGAGCCAAACTTTTGTTGGCAAGTAGCATACTATAGGACTTTCCATAGAACAACTAAGGCATCTTTTAAAAAAACCCACACCACTCCATCATGTGGATGCAAATATTCTTGAAGGCACATCCATCTAAGTACTAGATCTCATTTTTAAAAATAACACTTAATCTGCTCAAGTGGAAATATTCCATTTTAAAGCTGCAGTCAGAGGATGTAAACCCAAGATCTCATTTCGGCTTAGCTTGGTTGAGAAGCAAAAAGGTTGTTTCAAGTCCCACTTAGAATATGGCTACTAAACACTATTAGCCGTTAGATATTATTGGAAAAAATGAAGACATGTTACTTGTGTGAAAGGGCAAAAGTGTGCTGCGATTTTCGTCCAGGGCTATAATTAACAATTTAGGTGCTCAAGGATTTGCTATTGGTTAAGCTTGGGTCATATGAGTTTGGCATATATGGGGATTGTACAGAAGAATGGGTAGGAACATGTGGATTGGAGGGGGGCTGAACTAATAGCCTTCTTGCTTTGAGCTCTCAAATGTTCTGCAGGTGCAGAAACACCCATGTGTGTGATTCACAGAAACAACAACAAAACAAATCTACTTTTTTCTCAGGTTGGGTTTCTATCATAACCTGTGTCAAGGTCTTCTACTACATTTGTAAAAAGACATTCTACTGTCTGAAAACTGTCCAGCTGAGCACTGAGTATGAGACTGTCAGCATAAATGAAGGTTTCGGCACCATGAGGGTTGATCATTGATATAGATATTAAAGGAAGTAGAAACCAGTACACTGCCCTAGGATAAACAATTCCCTTGCATCCTCTATCAGCGGTGTTGTCCTCAAAAGTTAATTTAAAAAATCAATGATTTTGTTAAAGGGTTGCTGTTACTTTAGTTGGCTTAAGATACTTGGTTAGACTACAGAATTTTTCCAGTTGAAGATGAAAAGCCACAGGTGGCAAAAAAGTCTACAATTACAAGGAAGTGATAACTGATTTAACTGACTGGATAACTCAGTGGTTTAAGTATTTTGTTGCCAAGCCAGATGCTTGGATAGACTACAGAATTTTTCCAGTTGAAGATGAAAAGCCACAGGTGGCAAAAAGTCAAAAGAAGCTGCTCCTGTGATCTCCAACATTTCAAAGCTCTAAGAGGAAGCATGAAATGTAGGGTTTGCACAGCACAGGTCTTTCCATATTTAAAGCCAATTTTTTGTGGGATGAGGAGTGGTTCCACTACCATCGGTCAGACACTTAAGGATCATTCTTTCCAGAATGCTGTGACAAAGCATCCTGGAAAGAATAGAGGCCTGAAATTTTTTGGAGCCATGAGTTCTCTACCAGATTTCAAGAGTCCAATACAGTTGTGCCCCGCTTAACAATTACTCCGCATTACGATGAATTCGCTTTACAACGATGTTTTTGTGATTGCAATTACGATCGCAAAACAATGGTCTAAATGGGGGAATTTCACTTAGTGATGATCAGTTCCCTGCTTCAGGAACCAATTTTGGCTTTACAATGATCAAAAACAACTGATCGTCGGGTTTTCAAAATGGCCACCAGGTGCTTAAAATGGCTCCCCGATGTACTTAGGGACGGATTCTTCGCTATACAGGCACCGAAAATGGCCGCCATATGGAGGATCTTCGCTGGACGGTGAGGTTTTAGCCCACTGGAATGCAATGAACGGTTTTCAATGCGTTTCAATGGGTTTTTTAATTTCGCTTTACGATGTTTTCGCTTAACAGTGATTTTCCTGGAGCGGATTATCGTCGTTAAGTGAGGCACCACTGTATAGAGATAGCATTCCATACATAATGAACATTTAAAAGCTACTTACGTGTGATAATATAATCCTGCGTAAGTGTCTCTGCTTGTCTCTCTTTTCTTTTTGTCTTAACGACACATAATTTTGCTCCCCTAAGGATTTTCAAAAGATAAAAATAGATTACAAAAATGGTTAAGAATTTGATCCTGAGTACATTAAACTTGCTCATGTTAATTAAATATCAGGAGAAAAATTAGATAAATTATGCTTTATAACTTATCTAACACTAATTAAATGTATTGCATGCCCTGCTGTTCTTTAATAACCCAATAACTTAATAACAAATTAAATCCACTGTATGCCCTGCAGTTCTTTAACAGCCCACAAGAATTAAGAGAGGATGTAATGATCAATTTAATAAATCGTGGTTCATTAAACCATGAGCAAATGTTTCTTTGCTAGCATTGTATGTTGGCTTCGTTGCTTGTCTAGCAGTTACTATGAGTGAGTTTCCTATTACATGGGAAATTGAAAACTAAAACTGAAAACTGTGGTTTAACCCAGGACCTCAAACTGTAACATGTCCTAATTTCATTATTTCAATCTTAATTTAAATTTAAGTTTAAATTAAGTTTAATCTTAATTTCAAGATTAAACTACATGACAGGACATAACTGGATACTCTGGCTAAAAATAACTATGATACAAGCACTCAAGAGCCTGTGTAAGATGGTAGGAGTTGGTTGGGAGCACACAAGTATTCTATTTACTCCCAGTTTAATACACTGAGATACAGTAGGTTGTGTACATTCAGAGAGGCCAAAATAGCAGACATGTTGGTTGTTTCCTAATCATTATATTGATGGAATCTGTGACTTATGCAACATTTTAGATGTAAAATTCAAAACATGTCAATACATTGCATACTCAGTTTTAATGGTAAAGGGTGGGTGTTTTTTTGGGGAAAGTAGCCACAAATTACTATCATTTTAAAATGAAACCGTAAATGTAGACAAAATTCAAAGAAATATCTGATTATTTTAATTACCATTTACACGTTAAGAAATAAGATTCAAGCACCATGCATTAATTACCTTTGACTCTTTAAAGGATCATAGTATACTTTGGCCAATCCATTTCCAGTACCAACCATGATTTGGTTCAACTTTGGATGCCAGAGACAACGGACAACACTCTGAAATGTAATATTAGCTTTTGGTTAGTGATTTTTCATTTTGCAATCAGGGCAATCCTCCAACTCAACAGATCCCTTGATGGCTGCTTAGCAGTTGACATATGCCATATAACAGAGGTCCCCATCCCCCGGTCTGTGGTCAGGTGCCAATCCATGGCCGGAGCCAAACTGGGGAGAGAGACCTCCCCCCGCCCCCACATACACTCCCCTCCGCACAGCCCATTTGCGCCTGCACGCAAGTGCACACCCACCCACACGATCACTGTGCTGCCCTTTGCGCATGCGCCCGTGAGAGAGCAAGAGAGCACTCATTCGCGCATGGACACAAGCACAGGGAGGTGCCCTGCCTTCCCCAGCGGTTCCGTGGGCCTAAAGAGGTTGGGGATTGCTGCCATATAATATATAAATATATGAGACAGGAACAAAGTGCTTTTTACTGCACACAGAAGCAAATGCACAGAAGCCACTATGGTTAATTGATGTGATGGTGATTGCATGTTTGTCATATGCCTAGTCATGCACCCAGATGTGTACAGGATCTCATCAATTAGCTGTGGCAACTTCTGATGACTTATGAGCACAGCAAGAGGAGCTTCCCCTGAAATGTTCATGACGTACCCTCCCCACTTGGTCCATAAACCACTTGGGAGTTCGATTCCCCACTGTGTCTCCTGTGAATAGAGTCAGCCTGAGTACCTGGAAAACCCTGAAAATGGTTTCCATAAGTCACAAATGACTCAATAACACATAATTATTATTAATAACTGATTTGGTAATAAGCCTATTCCCTTATTTCCCCCCTGGAAAAAAAGAGTAAAGAATTGTCGCTTGGGCAGCACAGATCTGAACCATTAGACAAATATAAGCAAGTGTTTATTTCAAGATGCTACAACTTAAAATATTTCTTCGACAGCTGCTAATCAAACAGTGATTAAAAGGAAAGAAAAACCACCACCGTTGCTCTCTCTGGGACCCTACTGTTTCCCTGCAAGCTAACAACCTTAGACAGCATCAATAAGAAGCCAGAATGTCATTTGGAAATAGAGCTTGCATTACCAACCATGTTCTTATGCCAGCTGGGCGAATGCATTTCATTCACATAAAAACCACACAGTATACCTTAAAAAAAGAAATACTGCTTACAATTTTATTGCAACAAGGGAGCCTAATTTAACTTTTATATGACTTCAGAGACTTAAAATACTGCATTCTCAAAGTCCTACTTTGTAGACCAAAACGACTCTGTAGGCGTATCATATGACCAGTTTCTGGATGATTTAGCCAAACACCCTACCTTTCACCAGTCCTGAACACATTTCTCCTCTCTTTGAATATTAAATATGGTTCATTTGGCAGCACCCGCTGTAAAGTAAATTAAGTCAGAGCATATGGACAATTAGGGAACTAGCTACCTATTAACAAGCTCCTGCCAAGTATTATGTGCAAAACCAGCTCCTTCTAAAGCATGATTTAAAAGGGGGAAGAAGAAAAGGGAGAAAAGCTTTACTACCCTAATCAAAGATTTCTTCAAAATGGGAGTGATACGATTACAATCTGTTTTTACACTTGGACAATCGCACAAGAATATTCTGGGAATGCTTCAGTACATGAATTATCAGTTCAGGTAAAGAGTTCTTGTGAACAATCCACTGTGTTTTTCCAATTCCATGATCCTATTTTTTGCTTTTAAAGGCACTCTGTGATATCCTGTTCAGCAAGAAGACCTGTTTATTATTCTAAAAGGGATGCCACCTAGAAACATTGTTTTTATTGGTTTTTGAAGAGGCAGTCATGTTAGCCTTTGAGCAACAACAACAACAAGAAAGTATTGTGGCAACCTTAAGATTAGGAAATTTATTTCAATGTAAGCAATTGTGGATCATAGCCCATTATGGATTAGAATCCTCTGTTTGAAGAAAAGGATTGCAATCCATGAAAACTGACATAGAAATACATGTACAGTATTCATCTTAAAGATGCCACAAGACTTTTAGTTGTGATCTGTTTTTGTTATGTTGCGGGATGTCCAATATGCACATGAACTGTGGGAACACGTTCCATGTGGCTTTGTCCTCAACAACAATAACACCTCCTGCATGTGCTTTTGCTTTTTTCCCATCCCCACCATGTTTTGGACACAGACAGGGGAGTGTTCTGGGAACCTTGCTGTATTTCTGAGGTATTTCAAAAGTTACAGCGCAGCTGTAAACTAGAACCAAGGAAGAGAGAAACCATCACTGTAATTGGTGACTGCACCAGTGGAGGTTCTCAGAAGACTTATAAAACTACAAAGAAAATCTCTGTCCCTTATCTCTGGCTCTGAAGTTGGGGAAAAACTTGACATCTGGCTGAGTTTGATGCTATACTTCAGAGTGTCTCAAAAGTCAAGCACAGTAAACATATTCTGGGCTTCCAAAGCCCTGGTACTGGGGAGGGAGTAATTGGTTGTGATGCAGTGTGACATCCTCCACCTCCAAAGGTACGGGGAAGGACAGGCTTGTTCCATTTTCCAGATATACACTTGTCACAGCCTACATGGAAATAAATGGAGGGGCTCAGAGTCTCAAATTATTGCCTCTATTTTTGTGCGTTCATTTATTTTATATTAAACTCTACACTTGATTTCAAGTTTGCAGAACTTTCTGAATAAAAGGGTGGGATGTAAAAGCTCTAACAGGCAAATAGTAAAACCAATATTAACAAAACAATGAAATGGTAACTGTCTACAGTATTTAGTTAATATTGACTGAGAACTCCGACCCTAGTTTTCTTGTGTTCTCAATCACATTGGAAGTGTCCATAGATAAGAGACCTTCCCACTGAGCTTCAAGAAATTAAGACAGCTAGCACAAGGAATCAGACTGGCTGCATAGGGTTAATTAGCAATAAGAACTCAGGCAATCACTGCTTTTGCCTCTGCTTTAAGCTCTATTACAGTGGTGGCCTGCTTGATGACGATAATCTGTTCCAGGAAAATCGCTGTTAAGCAAAATTGTCGTCAAGCGGGGAAAAACCCATTGGAATGCATTGAAAACCAGTTAATGCGTTCCAATGGGGGAAATACCTGATCGTCCAGCGAAGATCCTCCATACGGCGGCCATTTTACGATCCCTGTGTTGCAAAAATAGGTCTGGAAAACAGCGGGGAGCCATTTTGCGAACTGCCGATCAGCTGTTTTTAATCGTTGTCCAGCGAAAAAACAGTTCCCAAAGCAGGGACCGAAACGACATAAAGCGAAAAAACCACATAGAAACATGGTCTTGCGATCGCTATAGAGATTGCAAAAAAGTTATCGTGAAGCGATTGCGTCGTCTAACGGGTTCGTCATCAAGCAGGGCACCATTGTACTTTCTTCCAATTAAACTTATCAGTCAGACACCTGTTCGAGAGCAAATCAGTGCTCTCACCATCCATTTATTCATGCAGTTTGATGTATACTGTTGACTCTCATACCAACAGAATTTAACAGGGGCAGTTAGAAAGGCCCTATACCTCTCTGTGTTCAAGATTCCAGATTGCCATAATCTTGCTTGACTGTAGATCCCATTAAAGTATATGACTGTGTTATGAAGAATTTATAACTCTTCATCAGCTTTATTTCCTTTTATCTTTTCAATTTTGCGATAATACTACAAATGATGCAGCTGATGCTTAGATTTCAACTGCACCCAGGAGACAAATGAGTTGAGTCAGAGTTGTAAGCACTGTAATTAAAAGCAAATTACAGGTCCTAAGACACATCTGCAATCATATTTTACTTCTTAAACAGACAAAAAAATCAAAACCAAAGGAGACAATTAAATTTGTAGTGTTTTGCACAAGACAAAATACTGGATTAGCTTCTGTTTCTACCTGTTGGTTTCTTAACCTAATTCTGAAAAGTAAACTTGTAAAGCACTCTTTATATGTGACAATTTAATATTTAAATCCTGTAACTCTAGATAGTTTTAACAGATTGTTGATATTGATTATTACTGTAGATGTCAGCGGCTCAAAGAAATCCTTTTATTGTTCTCAAAGGGTTTCACAGTTGGGATCCGATGGTTGTTGTGGGTTTTTCAGGTTGTTTGGCCGTGTTCTGGAGGTTTTTCCTCCTAACATTTTGCCAGTCTCTGTGGCTGGCATCTTCAGAAGACAGGAGCTAGGATTCTGTCTGTGTTCTGGTGTAGTGTATGGGATTATTAAGTATTTATAGCTCTGGGACAACAGGAGATTGGGTGTTTCCTGTGACCATGGTGTTTTTTGTTATGGATGTTTTGCTGGGGGGGGGGAGATGATCCGTCACTCTGATTGAAGGGTGTCATTGGCTGGTCTTTTGTGTGCAGTGAATCACTGTCCTTGTGGCTGGGTAGAGTTCATTGACCTTTTGCAGGCTGCATTTTTCAGTGCCACCTTGCACACAGAAGTACTGGACAACACCAACAATCATTGTGTTAGTCTACACATAATCAACAAAAAAAGAAGAAAATCTAAAAATCAGCAAAGCCTGGCTCCCAGCACTGAAAAATACAGTTATATCATTGAGCAATAGCTCTTTCCCAGTTACCACTATAGCTGGCTGAAGAAGAGAAGCTGGAAGGTCAACTTCATAAATGTTTAGCAGAGCTGTAATACAGTTGGTGCTAGTAAAAAGGAAGTGGTATGAACTATGTCCTCACCTACATAAAGAAAGGTAATAAATTACATATACAATGCTTAGGAGGGATATCCAGTGTGGTATAGTGGATAGAGTAATGCACTAGGACTCAGGGAGTCTGATTTCGAATTCCCTGCTCAACAATGGAGCTGCACTGGGGATGTGGAACTGGTAAAACCACTCCTCTCACTGATCTTGAAAGCCCTCTTATTGTCACTATAAGTTGATTCCAGTTTGAAGGCACACAACAACAAATAATGGTTAGTACTGCTGCTCCCGTACAGATGTGCCCATAAACAGTAGGACCGGTATCCATGGTTTCACTTATCTACAGTCTGAAAATATTAAAAATATTAAAAGAAAAAAAAATCCAGAAAATGTATTTTCATTGATCTAGAGGAACATGGTTTGCTGATCCAGTTTTTAAAGATTACAGTAGGGCCCCCATATCTGTGAGAGATTCTTTCCAAGCCTTCCCATGGATGCTGAAAACCGTGACTAATAGTGAATGTTATACACAGCATGGTAAAAGGGGGGAAAAGCAGAAAAGGGTATTTTCAGCACATATTACCAGAACTAGCCAGTAGAGGGAGCCAGAGATCCTGCAGTGTATTCTTTAATCACAAGAATATATATCATGGTCTCTGGCGCTCTCTAGTAGCCAGTTCTGGTAATGAATGTGAAAATAATTTTTCTAGTTTTTTTCCTCTTTTACCATGCAATATACATATAGTGCTCACTATTATCCATATTTTTTTAGTATCTGCAGGAACCTTGGAACAAATCCCCAGTGGATATGAGGGTATTGATCAATACATAAACTTCTCTGCATGCATCCAGCTTCCAAGGTAAAGCTGGGTTAAGTAAGAAGGGTGTCTCTTGGGTGGTGGCATCTGATTTGCAGACCGTCCTTTCCAGTGAGGTTTTCCTGAAATTTTTATAGATGTTAAAGCAATTTAGGCCTTTTAAGGCCAACATAAGAGTGGGTTTCACTGGGTTTGATTGCTGTGTTATCCTGTGCTACGATGTTTTTTCTGCTCTTTTATTGTACTGTGGTGATTTACTGTTTCGTTTCTAAAATGTATTATTTTTTTAAAAAGTTTTCTTGTGGATTTAACATTGAAAATGAAAGATATTAATATTCTATAAAATCATTTCCTAATGATTTGTCCTAATCATTACACACTTTCACCACTTTGAGTCATTACAGGCAAAAACAAAATTTAAAAAAAAGTTTTAAAAAAGGCAAAAACATTAAAAAACTTTTATATTTTTTAATGCGAGTTTCTGTGGACAAGTCCACTTCATCAGACATAATAGAAGGAGATATAATGTGGCATATATTTTTCTACATGACCTCAAAGTTGTAGCTGGTTGGTAACAGAATCAGTGGGTGGTTATAGTGTATTTGATATGCAGACTTTAAATAGGAATTAGTGCTGTAAAGAATGTGAGAACCTCTGTCATAGATTAACAATGGTAAAAAGTGTAAGATAATGATGATAGAGTAACTATGATGTTAATCAGATATGCTATTTAAAGTTATCAATGAACCTTTGCCCTATAAGCTTTTCTTTGTAGTCATTTGTAAAGTGTGTGAATTAACCCAGAAAACATATGAACTCCGGAGCAGAGTAGAATATGTTTTACTTTAGAAATTTCTAAGGTGGATCTGTTAAGGGCAGGAACATATCTGGGAGATGCAGTACAGTACAATATTTGTAGTGTTTATATCCGGTAGAGCCCCAAAAAGCCTTGGCATATATTAATTCTGGTAGTTTCTTTTTTCTAGCATGGCCACTTTCAAATTGTCTGTGGAATGTCCTGGTAAATTAAATGATGTGAAATGGGTTTCTGTCTGTTGCCATTCCTGATGTCTGATTTATGTCCATTGACTCGTTCGCATACAGATTGTCCTGTTGTCCTATGTAGAGTGCAGATGGTATTGTTGGCAAAAGATGTCATAAATAACATTGATTAGAGGAACAGGTAAAAGTGCCTTTGATATTGTGTGTGACATTGCTCGGTCCAGTAATGGTGTTGCCCGAATAAATGTGGGGGCAGAGCTGGTATCTGGATTTGTAGCAGAGTTTTGTTTCCATCTCTGTGTCAGTGCTGCAAAGTCCACTGTGTGTTAGTAGTTGTTTGAGGTTGGTGGTATGTCTATAAGCCAGTATGGGTCTGCTACCAAGGTCTTGGGAGAGTGAAGTGTTCTTATTGAGGATGAGTTGGAGATCACTTATGATGTGTGTGTGAGTGGTCTCAGCTGTGGACTGAAAGTGACAACTAGTGGTGTTTGATTGTTTTCCCTTCTGGGTCTATCCTGTAGTGGACTGCTTCTTGGTATCTCTCTTACTTTATTATTTTGTTCCTTAATTTTATTGGGTGGGTATAGCAGTCTGAGGAATGCATTTTACAAATCCTTGTGTTTGGACTGTCTATCTTGTGGATCTGAGCAAATGCAATTGTATCTGAGGGCTTGACTGTAAATAATGGATTTTGTTGTGTATTCAAGATGGAAGAATGCAAGTAGGTGTATTAATCCATGGGTTTCCGGTACAGTGTATTGATGAGATGTTCATGTTATAGCTTTACAGTGGTGTCTCAAAAATGCACTTGTTGGGTAGATTGTTCCAGGGTGAGACTGATGTTTGGGTAAAAGTTATTGAAACCTTTGTGGAATTTTTCTAGGAATGCCTTTCCATGGGCCCATATTAGAAAAAAGTCATCAATGTACCTCAATTAGAGGAGTGGTTTTTGGGTGCAGCAGTTAAGAAAGTGTTGTTCTAGGTCAGCCATAAATATGTTTGCTTATTGAGGGGCCATGTGTGCACTCATGTGCCCATTGCGGGTTTGTTGATCTGGAGGTAAGTCATGTTGTCAAAGCTGAAATGT